TGATATGCCTACTAGTTCTTACCGGAGGAGGAGACAACAACCCCCGTCGTGTCTGCCCAACTCCTGCAGAAGGGGGAGGCTCACTTTGGAACACGCGATTTGGCTCATTTTGGAACACACAGAATTTGTTCGTTTAAGCTCATTCTGGAACACAGGATCCGGCTCATTTTGGAACACAATCCTTTCGCCCTGTGGAATAATTTCTGGCGTTCGGCGTTCGATCGCAGTTTGTTGCTATGTAGCGTGCGCGCAATCTCATATCGGTTCGCGGGTCGAATTTAGAGGGGGAAGGTGCCATTCCAAGGTAGTACGCCTTCCTGGGTTGCTTTGTTGTGTTGATCTCGTTCAAAAAATGCGGGAAGGAGCGCGGGCAGCGCCTCCCCCGCAATGTAAACCGAGTCTAGTGGCTTCGTTGGTGGGATTCGTTGGTTGCTTCGTTGCTTGGCTTAACTCCCGTGTGGCTCACAAACGGCATCCTTTGGAATGTCACCGTCCTCTAAAATTTACCCCCGCATGACTCACAAAAGGTATGCTTGGAATGGCATCTTCCTCATCTAAAAATTTTACCCTCGTGTGGCTCACAGAAGCTATGCTACCTTTGAATGGCACCTTCTGCCTTTAAATTCAACCCCCGCATGGCTCAGAAAAGGTATGCGAACAGCTATGTTAGGTCTGTTTGTGGACACCTCCAGCACTTCATGTGGACCCCCTCAAACGCTTTTGGAGACTGCATGACTTCACGAGAGAACCGACGAGTGACGATGCCATTATGGTGAAGGGTAAGATTCGAGCGAAAGAACTCCGCCACCGTGGGCAGAATGACTCTTTGCACTGCTGTTCACTGCTTTGTCTTACCGGGGCCAAACACTTGACGGGCCCAACGGGCCCAGCCGGACGGGCCCGACAAGCTCCCAACGCGCCTACTCCAGACTCACTTGTAGCATCTGCGCAGTAACCTTGAGGAACTGGAGGAAACTTTGAATAGTCACGCGCAACTCAACCCAACCCACGCGCCAGCTACCAACACAGGCTCATTCTTGGCGAAAGGAAGCGGCCCAAGATTGAAAAAACCGCGGCCTGATTTTAGTTTGTCTGTTTCTCACATACAGCGAGGCCAAGGACGTGCACAAACGAGTCTCCTCCCTGCGTGCACAAACGAGTCACAGACCCCGCGCGCAACACTCGCAGGTGAGGGCATAATCATTGCGACGTTGGGACGACCTATACCTTAAACACTTTGATAGGTATGGTGTCTTACGAGTGACCGTCAACGAGCCCAACGGACCCGGGCCTGACGGGCTCTCGACGGACCTTGCGGACCTAGACGGGCCTGACGGGCCCAACGGGCTCGGCCCCAGTGAGTACTGTACCCGACCATTGAGGACTGTGGTTGAAGGTGTCTGTGGAACGGGGTGGTCTACAGTAATACAGTAATCGTTCGATTGACCCTCAGGAGTGCTCAACATCAAGGCTTCCTGCTTCCGTTTTTGCGGCAAATCTTGCAAAACATTATATGCAGAACGCATGTAACTGAACATGTCTTGCTTGCTTCATGCATAGCCATCCTCTCGGTTGCAAAGCGAGCCAAACAGGATACAAATGGATGCACATAGCAACCCACTCAAGTGCCCCATTATGAGCGGATGGCTGACCTGAGATTATCTTTTTGTTGTTTCTCAATGGGCTGGGAACAGTCGACACGGGAGATTACTTGGTAGTAGGTAGAGCCGTTCGTTGTCCCTACCGGCTCTGCTCAAAACCAGTGTCGAAAAAAACGCTTGTCAAATACGATGGAGCCTGATAGGACAGTTGTCTACCAAGAAAGGTTCTGCCTGGCGCAGCGCACTATAATCCACATGTTGGCAGGAACCGCCCTCGGCAGCGCGGGCCTGCTCAAACGGTTTCTTTGCAATGGCTGCCTGATTGCCTACTACTTCTAGATCAGCAGAACCCGAAACGGGTGGATAAGTGGACCCTAAGGATGCTTTGTATAGGGATTTGGGGAATTAGCCAAGCTACTCCATTTGCCACATTGGCTCAGTTTGTCAATCTCTACAGGACTGCCCCGGATGTGAAACCTCACCGAGGCTCGCATTCGCCAACCAGCCCCCTCTTTTTGCTCCTTGCAATCTTTGTCAAGGCCGATGGACAACAGCAAGGGGACTTCTGGACTTCTTACCCAGAACTCCTCATTCTGCAATTCTTATCTTGGACGCCCTCTGCAGAAGGGCCGGCCGCCTTGGTCTTCCTCACAAGAAGTCTCGGGTTCGCCTGCCGGTGGGTCTCTAGACGCTCGTTCTTGTCAGTTGCAGCGCTTGAGCTGTTCCATTGTTTTGACCCAGTTGGGGAACAATGTCTGTGGATGAAAGGCAAACACAGTTCCAACTAGCGACTAGCCCATTGTAAATGTATTATGTCGTGTTTAGTTCCTGGAGAGGCATCGTGAATTGGTGAGTTGGCTGTAGGTTCTCAATGCTTCCGACCCAGCCCGGAGTCCAGATGCTGTGAAGCAAAAGAACACATTCCAAAACGATGCGACCGGCAGAAACTGAAAAAAAACACCTTAAACATCCTTAAACCTTAAAACCTCCTCATTGGAAAGCTCAAAGACCCACAATTCTCCAAACCACCCAATTTTGTCGATTGCGCCGCGCCTGGCATCTCGGTCCCTGGTGGGGAGGAAAGCCAAGGGCCATGGCATCAGCTCCTGGATGTGACCGGCAACATGTGGGAGAGTCTGGGGTAGTGCCATTGACACCTGCAAAATGAAGATGATAGAAAATGATATAAACAGGATCATCCTGCTCTGGGAACCTAGTCTGCAATGTTGAAAATTCCTGAAACTTGGCACATGACAGGAAGGGATATCCCTTGACCTGTGGACTACGTGAGTTTACCAAACATTTGGGCCTACCAAAGTCTCTAATAGTCTAATTACTTTGGAGCAACACTCACAAACTCACAGCTGCTGGCCCAGGACAGGGCTGGCCATTTTTCTGTCGCCAGAGTGGTGTTGGATCTGGTTCTTTCAGCATCGAACATTCGAACACCTCAAATGAAGTGGCTCAGTTGAGTGACTTTGCACCCAACCTTTGACTCAACAGCTGAGTCAACGTTTAACGCTCAGGAGCCCTTGCGCCACGAAGAGTGACCCCCAAATGACCCACCAAACGCTCCCCCTGCATCCATCGGCCAAAGTCCGACCGACAAGGGCGGTTAAAGAAGTTCATCGACCACCTGCATCTCACTGCATCTCACTGCTCTCGATTCCGCATCTCAAGTGTCCATAGGGAAGGTTTTTGGCACCTTGGACTGGAAGCGTCTGTCTGTGGGGATGTTTGGAATATTTGGTCACTGATAAGAGAGTCATAAAGAGCCTCTTGATCAGCGTCATTGGTATGTTGCACAAGGTTGCATGGACAACTATCAGGTCTTTGTGCGGCTCTGACATTCCTACGTGAAAAAACAACAACTCCATGAAGTAGCATGACAGTTCTGTTTGGGATGTTTTCTGTCATCTCTTATGCACATTATCCAACTTCCACAAACACATGCACACATTAAACATAGTTGCATAATATGTGGTCAATGGATGGTCAATGGTAAGGCCACATACTGTAAACCCCAAATGAGTGATGATCAAGCATCAACTGGTCTCTGTGTCGTGTGTCGTGAGTGGCCCAGAATAGTGGGGAATGTTTCTCCGCTGGTGGACGGACAAACAGCAAGGAAGTCGCAGGACCTGGGAAGTTACGTTGGCATTCTAACTAGTATGTGACTTCTAGTGACTCGGTGCCAATTAGTTTGTATTTCTCACTAGATGGCACCGAGTCACATTGGCATCGTACGCGCATGAAGGCATTGCTGTCTACGCCTCGACGTGGAGGACTTCATGAGCTGCAGCCTGGAAGGGACAGTACCAACTCGACAGCCCCAAAGCAGTACCACAAAAGGATTCTGGTTGATCCTATCTTCTTCGCGCAGCGTGCAAATGGGAGATCCTACTTACCTCCAAGGGAGATCAACCAATCTATTCTTCCACAGGTTTATTTCAGCTTTCTTTTCAGTTCTGAGAAAAAAGATACACGCTCCAACTTCATGACGCCTGCCCCCCTTGTGAACCTGAAACTACAACAAAACACACAATCACACAAACACCAGGCTCTCGATATCTGTTTGCGCATCGAATCAATGAACACCTGGCCAATTAGCAGTGGACCTAGCCGCCAACACACATGAACAGGGGAGTGCTGGTAACACGGCTTGAGTTTTGATCACTGTGGAGGTTTAGGTGGGAGGGTATAGAATATAATGTAATTTTATAGGTATAAAGTGGTGGGTCAGCACCCTTTAGGGGCCTTGATTTGAAGGAGACTAAGGAAACACGTGTTGCGCGCTTTACCCCACTGGCGCACTTTCAGAGGGGAGAAGGTGAAAGGATCTTCAACCATCAAACAATCTAATGGTTGGGTTGGGGGATGGCAACAGGCTCTGAAGAGTAGAACACGGACCCAACCACCGGACAATCTAGTGGGCGGGGTGGGGGAGAAGGTGAAAGGAGATTCAACCACCAGACAATCTATTGGGTGGATTGGGGGGAAGGGCATAAGCGAGTATAATTTCCAGTGCACAAGCGAGTGCTCGCCCGATTCCATGCATTTGTGAGCTTCTCAATCAACAACTAGGTGTTCATGCTTGAGAGCATCGTAGAACCATATTTCTGTAAGCTAAGCCTATTCCACCAAAGCATGGCTCAATATATAAGATTCTCTTGTACCAGCACCACCTTTCCCCACACCTGAACTCTCAAAGAAAAATGCAAACACCGGTGGAGAATCCCTCATTACTCCAAGAACCAAGCCTACAAAGGTCAAGATGATCTGCTGGGGCCGCCATTCTCTATACATAGAGCTATTGCAAAGCCATTGTCCTTCTCCCACCTCGTTTTCACCGCTTAGTGCTCTGGTGCCTGAAGATGGAGCCAAGCTGTATCCAGCGCTTCAGGGTGGCTCCATTTCGACTTGCTGCGTTTCATGCAGGTACTTTGCACCTGTGGTGACATCGATCAAGACCGGAGGGTATGGCCGGGTTGGGCCCTGCAACTACGGGGGATGTTCTCCCAAAGTCTGCCGAAACAAAGGTCACCCCACCCGATTAAGCTTGTGTGTTGAAGAAATCTCACTGGGGTGGATGTTGCAGATTGCACGGCGAGCTGCGTGGAGTATTGTGGATGTTGACAGAAATAGCAAGGGTACATCAACCCTGTGAGAGTATCAACAAGAGACAAAATCCAGCCATGGTTTTCATCGTCATTCCACTGATGGAATTCTCATAGGCCCCCCACAATACTTCTTTAGAACTCTGCAAAATGGACTTGTTGATCTGTGATGCTATTCACTATTCAACAAACATCGTCTCCAACAACCGCACTTGGATGATCATCACACTTGGGAGGCGTGTAACCAATTTACTGCAAGGTCAGTACCCATAGTAAACTTGTCTGCAACTATCTCAACTGTCATACGTTATGTCGACTACCCATCCCGAACTGTTAGACATAACAAACACACACCACAAACACTTTTGCATGGTGTGACATCTTATTTACGAACCGTACAATAGATGCATGTTCCGCGTGTTCTATGTCATTGTTAATTGTTAAGCAAAAGCTTGCTGGGTCTCCCAAATTGCTCGCCAGGGTACAGGGCAGCAGCACCCAGGCATCTAGCGCGGCATAGTGGAGCTGGCTAGGTCGCAGCGGCCTAGCAGAAGATGGCTCTCCATGGATACTACCAACGCTCTCGGGCCCCAAAGTCACTCAGATTGTAGAAGCAAAAACTGCTAGAATCATGTTGCAAACAATCTCAGGTTGCCTCTTCTCCCCAGTCAAATCGTTCTGACCACTCTCACCAGGTCACACCTCCAACTTCAACAGGTCGAGCGAAAAGACCGACGGCGCCTCCGTGCCCATCGGCTGCATTGCTCGGCCTTGCAGAGCTCAGCACCCAGCGCCTCACGCACCAACTGCCGCAGGCCGCCTCAACCCGAGCAAACCGAGCGAAGGACAGCGGTGGTGAGTTGCACTGGAGTAGGTCGACTTGGTCTGAAAGTCGAGAACGGTAATGGTGGAGAAACAGTCAGGCCACGTTGTTTCGTCCTCTGTCCCACATCCATCCGCCTGACACGCCCAGGTCCGCTCGGCGCAGGTCCCTGGGCGCTAGCAGATCGGCGCCCGAGGGAAGTGACACGAAGCGGCGCAGGAGGGCAGCATCCGTGCGGAAGTCAAAGGCGAGCAGCGCCTGCAAGTGATTTTCGAGGAGGCGAGTGGTTGTGCATTGAGAAAAAGGGAGACACCTCAGACAGACTCGTGGGAAGACGAAAACCTGAACCCATATCATCCAGACCTCTTCTTTTGAACTCATGACTCATACTGATCAGTTGGCCCTGCAATTTGCAATGATAAAGCACCTGTTGGTCCTGTTAGATGGAGTCTTTCGACCCGAACCTTCAACATGAGCAGTGGATTAAGGTACTTTGAGATCTTCTTCTTTAGGCTTTCAGTACTTGGATTCTGTGTTGAGAGGGTCAATAAGAGGGTCAGCCCGAATCACAAAAACAATTGCATGTTGTGAATCACACGGAAAGCGACCTGGACCGTGGAAGAGAGTAGCCTCCTGTTGATGGTAAGAAGAGACCGCATTGCGAGGTACGAACAGACTTGGTCGTCAGTTGTACAAAAACTACACAAATCTTCTATGTTCATTTTCTACAGTAGCCATGAACATCTATTTGATGTTTGTTTTCGTTCCCTGTGCAGTCATTGTCAATAGGATTCAATAGGCACTGCCCCAAATCACTTGACCAAGGCTTTGTCAAAAGATGTCAACAGCAACCACCTTGCTGTTTCCCACAAATTCCACATGGCTTTAGGCCATCTCTTGCATGCCTCCACCGCCCTGCTTGCTGGTGGAACCACCTACATTCAGCGGATCATTCAGGACCTGAAGCGAGTTGGTGAGTTGGAGATCCGCACGCTGCGGACCGCCTTCGTTGAGAGCATCTGGAGGAGATCCGAAAAGTCCTGGGTGCTGCCCAAAGCCAGGACCTCGAGCATGTTCCTTGTGAAGAACTCTGTCAAATGTGTTTCCTTTTACTATAACCCTGGGGGTCAAAGACTACAAAAAAAAGGTCTTTAGGTGACCCGAAAAGGAACTTCCTTTACTTCACTTGTTTGAAAAGGGAATACATATATAATATATATTTGCCATTATATCATACGACTGTATACATCTGTTCATCTATTTTATAACCTATCTATTTTGTAAAAGGGCTGAGCCTCTAAACTCTTTTTCACCCCACCCTGCCCCTGCACAAACGCGACGATCTGAACGCCGGTGAGAGACGTCGATGACGAAGCAATGGGTGGTGGTGGCCAACTGAATCAAGGAAATCTCCTCAGAGGGTTCAAAAGGTGCAAACGGGATGGTACGAGTGTCTCGTTGATGGTTTCAGACAGCGGTGTCATGCATTCATCCCGGCACGGGTGGTACGAGTTCGGATGAACAATGCAGGCTGCGAGTTTGAGCAAACATAACACATCATAACACTCACAAACGCTGCGTATTGGAACAGGGAAGGCTCCAAACAATGTGACGAAAACATTGAAACCCATTTTTCATTCTGCCCTTACCCTGGCTCTGAGGTTGCCGTGGGAGAGCTTGTGACCAGAAACTCCCGTAGTCAGCCGGTGACGGGTTGAGAAACTGGACGCCCACCCACTCCGGACTTTCGGCTACTGGTGCTCGTAATGTTTTTTCTCTAATCTGATGTAATTTTGATTTCTAGTCTTGCTTCGCTAGTATCAAACTTCTCTTGCACTTGGATCCAGCTGTCATTGTTGCCTGAGCAATTTCAGAGCTTTCCGTTGAACCACAAACCCCGAGCCGCGTGCCCTCAAAACAAAGCAATCTTCTAGCTGGGAGCCACAGGACTTGAACACCATCCTACCCCTATCTGAGGAAACCAAACCCAAATCAATCCAAATCATATAAAATCATTAAAGATCATTAACCACGGGAAACTCACCAGATCCACCAGCCACGACTCCTGGTTTCAACCCAAACCCGCCGAACCCGTCGCCGAGGCTCAGCTTGTGCACCGAAACCGGAATGCTCGCAGTCCACGCCAATTCTGGGGGCACAGACAACGTTTCTACAGCGGATTTATGCTGCCAACTTTAAAAAAAACAAAACAAGGGGGACCAACAACACATATATAGTATAGTAGATATCATAAACGTCGAAAGGAAATCGACATCTCAACATCGGGATGTTTATATAATGAATGGGGAAAGCACAAGACCCAACAAGTGAAATCCGTTGTCTTTGATTTTGCGCTTGATGTGCACCATCCATTTGTAGCTAAGGGAAGGATTTTTCTTAAAAACAAAATGTAAAATTAACTGACATTTAGGGACGCTTCTGCTGTCCGCAGCAGCTGACCTTCTACACGTCGCAGCGCCTCACGGGAGAACGGGAGGTTGTCTGACTTATGACGGAAACACGGGTAGAATATTGGATCTTTCTGGCTCTATAAGTCCATGGGTTTAGATTGTGGAACCCGGCGGGTTTCTCGATACAAACAATCAATGAACATCAATGAACTAATTTCAGAAGTTTCGAATGTTCACGCTGATTGGGTTCCAACGCAATCCGGAGATTGGATGAGATTGGATACATGGATACATTTTAAGCTGCCAGGATGCTGATCTAAGGATCGCCTGAACAAACTGAAAGAACAGGTGATGGTCACTCCCCCCCAAACAAAACAACCGAACATCAAACAAACGTCACAGAACAACCGCAGCCACAACCAACAACCAACCAACCACCACCACCAGCAGAAGCAACAACAACAAAAACGCCCCATTGAAAACAACAACCAACATGGAAGCACCAAGCGCTTGCCCATGCTGTGAACTCGAACCCGCGCCTTTGCGGAATTTGCGAAGTCAACTTGCACATGGACAGGCAACCGTAGAGCAGTGGATGAGACTGGGCCAAAACACTCCTTGGCATCAAGATCTGGAAAGTATCTTTTACTCAAAAGACAGGACGCCCGGACACCAAGGGCACAGCCAATCATTGCTTCCTACCGCATGCTTTTTTGAGGTTTCTTTCATGGCCGGCCGGCCACCTGGTAGGGTAAGTGATGACTGCGTGCGAAATGCTCACATTTTGGCGCCCAGCGTGTTAACCCCTTGATCTTGACTCGTTCAAAGCCCTGATTGCCCTTGATCAACTGCTCTGTCGCACTCACTCACTCACTCTCACTCTCACTCTCACTCTCCCTCTCGCTCTCCCTCTCCCTCTCCCTCTCCCTCTCGCTCTCCCTCTCCCTCTCCCTCTCGCTCTCTCTCTCTCTCTCTCTCTCCTCTCTCTCTTGTGAGCGCCTCTGCTTGTCAAAGTTTAAAGATCTGATCGGCGTCTGCATCTATACTATTTTGCTGGCTGAGTGTGAACATGGCAACATACTTGACCGGTCACACTGTGCTTCAAGGCTATCGCTTCACAAAAGCAATGGGGGCAACAAATAGGACGGTAAACCAATAGCCAATCAGCAAAACTACAGTATACTGTGAATCCAACCCCTGTGGGAATCTCCGACCCATCAAAATGTAAAGCGATTTGGCTGATCGAGCGGGGAGACGCAGACCTTGACTCGTGACCACACTGACCAACTTGGAGCGCCGAAGGAATCTTGGGTTTGGGAACAAACCACAACTTTATGAGTTGCTTTCCAATGTTGTCTTTGGACATAAATCCAATCCCTCAAGTCTTTGGTGAGGTCTCTCACACACACACACACCACGCCCAAGATGGTCTCCCTCCAATGGGTGACCGATTTTGATGACGAGCGACTGATCGACTCGGCCAAATCGCCAAGCTTGAGGCCGTGCTCGCCGACCACAATGCCCAGCTTCGCGCTTTGCCAAGCACAGCGGTGTCCAGAAGCTCGGCGATCTCTGCTCTCCTGGAGGTGAAAGAGATAGGTTCAGGAGATCATGCTTGCAACTTTGGTGGTGCGGTCAGGAACTGCTCTTCCTTGGCAAGAGTCTGCTTCAACTAGTGCTGTTGAGTTGTTGCCAATCCTCAATCATGGGGTCACTGTATTTGGAAGGCCCGCATCAAGAGGTTTCCTCCAGAAGTGACGACATATATGTCACATATATGTCAATTAAACATGCCTTCCAATCATTTCACCTTCCAAACATTTTATTTGTAAGAGGTAGCACAAGCATGTTTTGAGTCTCTGGCACTTGCTCATCCGTGAGCCTAACCTTCAGCCAAATGCAATTGGTGAGTTGCTCCCTCTTTTGATGATAGAGTGAAGAAGCTGAGAAGACTTGATTGAAAAGCCAGTGCAAAAGCATGTAAGTGCACCTGCAAAACTGATTACAAAAAAAATCAACCTATAGAATAGGTGCGCTGAATACACAACTGGCATACAACGGACCACTAACATAGCGACATATGTTCCGGCTAAAACAAAAAGACACGTGATTTGGATGGTCAAATGACTGAAACAAATTGAAAAACATGTCTTCCATGAATTTCCTTCATGCTGAGGATTTGCCACACATATCCAAACATCAATGCGCGAGACTACACTCTAAACCCCCGAATGCACTGAATCGACCGGGCGCCCTTCCTGTCGGGCGCTTCACGCTCGATGCATTGCAGGAGTCCCTGTGCCCACAGGGGTTCGCGTCGCTCCAACAGCAGGCAATATGAGCATAGCAGCACCCTGGAAGTGGAAGGGAGCTTGCAATTGATGCCTATGCAACAACCACAGGGACTTGAGACTAGCTACAAGTTCTGCCTGCTAGCTTCAGGGATATGACTTGCGAACCAGGTGCACAGGCAAGTAGTCTTGCATATGAGCATATGTTGTCGGTAGCTAGCCAGCGCCGATCGGATTATCGATGATTACATGAACATGTATTTTGCTTTGGGTTCCTGCTGGATATTGCATGGATAAAAACACTCATGAAGCCATGTGCAACAGACTGTGTGAACTTTCATCAGGGAACTCCCAAACAACCAATACTCAAATCGCTGCACACCACGGACTCTAACGCTCCTGCTCTTGAACAAGAAGGTGAACATGACGCTTGCTAATCATATGTAGGCTTTTACACGAGACGATGTGCCATATGTTGCCGTATGAAATGGCAATGTGTTGCCGAAGATCCAATCCTCTGAACCAAGATCCTTCCTCACAGAATTTGCTCATTAAACAAGCCCAGGAACATCCAAAGATCGGTAGGTACCGGCAATAGTGGGGTTCTAGATGGGTGTTCAGGTCAATGGCTATTTTGGATGGTACCCATCCGACCCACCTCGGAGCCATATATCTGGCCCACCACGTGGTTCAACCAACCAACCTTGGTCCTTCTGTCGCCACCTGAGCCCCAAGCTTGCCAGATTTGGGGCAGTCTGCCACCCTGAAAAGATTTCCACAGCACCTCACCGCATCAGCACCCTTGCAGTCCCGGGCAGTTTTCCACAGATTTGGGGATGTCTTGTTGCCACGTCACCAGGCATCATTGGAGAAATGTTCCAGTAGCAGTTCCACTGCAAGGGGGCCTGATCTGCGAGGGCTCTGAAACAGGTCACCTGACCTTCTTGGTCCTGCATTCCCTATTTCACTTGCCTTACAAGTACATCATCGCCAAAAAATATGTTTTCTTGCAAGTGGGACGGGGTATGCTTAAATTGTCTATGATGGGTAGCTTGCACAACTCAACCACGGTGTCCACTAACAAAAGTCTCAAATCCAGAATCCAAAGAGTCAACGTTTGTCTACGCGTCTACGGGTCCCTAATCCTCATTCACAGAAGCTAAGTGAACATTGAGAAGTGCATAAAACTTACTTGATGTTTGACATCACATTTGGTGTAGAGGAGCACGTCTCAAAATTGGTTTCATCTGTGATTCTCTTAGAGAAGCAACATGCCAACAGATCCAATAGTCAGCTTTGGCCAACAAACCAGGAAGAGCGGAGGAGCCCAATTTCTTGAGCTCCTTGATCTACGTAGTTCACAAATCACTTTTGATGGCATGAAGCAACGCAGGGAAGGTTTTCCCTCACCCTGGGGAAGTTGCGGAAGCTGCCTGCGTTTCCCAGGTGTGGACGCATCCGGTCCATGCGAAACCGCCAGTACAGTGGATATCATGAGAAACCAGCAGGATGAACTCGAGTTCCGGACCATTGCACCGGCTGAAGCTGAAGCATTGCGATTCCAAAAAGATCTGCATATAGCCAGAATCTCGGCGATTTGCGCAAGGTTCTTTCATATGACCACCTTTTTATTGTCAATGCTGCCCGCCTCGACAGCTCCGCCTCTACCCGGCGAGTCGGTAGTTGAGGATTCGCGTCATCGTCGCAAATGCTAACAGCAGCACATGGAGCAGCAAGGATGAACTTTGGATCTGACAAAAATATATCCAGGGACCTTCACCAAAGTTTGCGTCAGCAGGATGCCATGCTCGCTGTCCGAGAAGTCGGCAAAGCAATTAGGTAGGTAGAAAGTGCCTCACACGAACAAATCATAGGTATTCAATGGTATTCACACCATTTCGGTGGTTTGAGATGTCAAGGGACCCTACTAGCAACGATTTTTAGACGTGGATAGATGGGCCCCGAACATGCAACCCACAAGCTCATCTCATTCCAAAACGAAAAAACACCCACAACAATCTCTCCTTCTTAGAAGGCGGCATAATTTTGCTTTTCCAAGCGAATGGTGCCCTCAAGCGAATCCGACCAGAAGGTCGTCATTCCGACCTTCGATGACCGGAACCCAAACGGGCGCCGTCTCAAAGGGCGGGGCCGTCTTCGAGTTCTTCGTTTGGATCCGGATCAGCCAAGCATTGGCACTGAGAAACAGCACTTCTGCAAACCATGCGCCTTTGGTGCGGGGGTGGAGCAGCTCAAGGTCCTTTTTTCAGGATCTGGCGTCCTTTTGGTCTACGACAGCTGGCCGTCGTCTCCTGAAAGGCTGCCATCAGCTCGTCCAAGCGAAAAGCATCACGCGCTCTCATCCCTTGGGGCAAGCCAACACATAGAAAATCTCTTCAATGGCACTGGAGAGTAGACCATCTTTCGTTGCTCAGCCATGTGTACCACTGGGAGTTTGGAAAAAGAATGTGATGGGACACTTTTGAACAAGCAATATTTGTATGATAATGTTCCCCAAATAATACTGGGAAATTGTTGTGATGCCCTTGTCTTCCCTCTGCCCCTGCTTGAAGAGTTTTTTTGGGCTTGGTTGTTCCCCATCGTGTCCCAGCAGTTTGGCTATCTTCAACCTGAAGCGCTATCAGTCCGAATGGCGTTCCATCTTCTGCAGGATCTTGCTAGCGAAGTGCACCTGCTGACCACCAGCAGTGCGGTGGGTGCAACACTGCTGCGACAGGAATCGAGACAATACATGGCATATATGAACTTGTTCATCAGTTCTCCCACACCAGCAGCTCAGTTTCCGCAAATACATTTTTTGCATATTGACGGTAGATTAAGGGTGCTAAACATGGCTTAACAGAGTGTTTGGAAAAGAGATGGCTGGCTTCAAGATGGACAAGCGGACTGGAAACTAATCAGCACAGGGGGTCAATGTTGTCTTCCACAACAGGCCAGCACGCGGTGGCAGAAGAGTCAAAAAATTACGCAGGCGTACGCAGGCGTAGTTTCAGAAGGAGCTCAGACTCACAGTTGAATCACCTCAAACAAAAAGGTTGAAGTGGATATCGAATATGGAACCAAGGGGCAAACGCCTTCTGAGCCGCCAGGTTTTTCCCAAAGAAGAATTCTGCCTGTCTGAATATGAGGGACCCAACCCCAGTCTTAATCTATGTCACTTCAACCTGTCGATAAAATCCATGTTGAGAGCTGACTGTACATTGCTTTGTCTCCGGAATGCGGTGTTAGCTGGGAAATGAGCTTAACTCACTGGACGTCGCAAAAAGATTACTGTGGAGGTTTAGGTGGGAGGGTATAGAATATCAGTTTATAAGATATAAAGTGGTGGGTCATCACCCCTTAGGGGCCTTGATTAGAAGGAGACTAAGGAAACAAGCATTTACTGTACATGAAAAAATACCTCCCCAAGGTCAAATCTACTCATCAGTGAGGCTCAAATGCAATATTTTGGCCCTTTGAAGGAGCATGAAAGAATCACAGAAACAACAACACCCAATCCTCTATAAAATCACACCCAATCCCCCCAAGCAGGGGAGGCATGAAACGCTTTATAGGGAAGACGACCCCCCTCATTTCATAGAGGATTCCATCGGCCAAGCACTCACTTGTGCACTGGAAATTTACCTCACTTGCGCACTTTACCTCACTGGCGCACTTTCAGAGGGGAGAAGGTGGAAGGAGCTTCAACCACCAAAACAATCTAATGAGTGGGGAAGGGCGGCAACAGGCTCTGATGGGGTGGGGGAGAAGGCGAAAGGAGATTCAACCACCGGACAATCTAATGGGTGGATTGGGGGGAAGGGTGGCAACAGGCTCTGAAGAGTAGAACACGGACGCAGTGGATAAGCGACTATAATTTCCAGTGCGCAAGCGAGTATAATTTCCAGTGCACAAGGGAGTGCTCGCCCGATTCCATGGCTATGTTTTATGTGGAGGTCAAACACATGGTTCTTGGACCGGAGATTTGCCTGGGCAGGTGGAGTCTTCCCACTTGTACGATCCACCACTTTGGCAGCGAGACACCTCCGCCACAGAAACACCATTGCGTATAGAATTTGCAAGCCTTCCGCAACATCTTCAAACCACGGGTTGCTTCTTTAGCATGGTGGACCGAGCTTTAACCAAGAACATGGGTACCTGACCACATGTTGTGGCGCAGGCATATGGGCTTATAGACTATAGGCACAAATCATGCAATGCGTGCACAAATCAATACAAAAGCGGCAGCCGCGTCCGCCTTCGCCACATCCATCGGCGCCACCGCGGTGCTGATGGCACCACGACTGTGCGCCGTGGCGAAGTGGTGTGCCAGGGCCACGAAGAGGCGCACCACGCTGGAGGAACGGGAGGACCGACCGGGGCACTCCTGGTGGTGGGTCCGAAATCCGGATGGATGAGTGTCCACGGACATAATCATGAATGCACAACCCATGGGAAAATGACCAGGTTATGGTCGACGGTGGATCAACGCAAACGCACACCTGTCGAAACAATCTTGGGGCTATGGGAGCTTCTGTAGTGGAACACGACTTGATTTCTATTGATATAGGCTATTGCGGCAATATGTTTGAGATAGTGACACTTTAAACAGGTTGTGTGGACAAGTCTGACTCTGTGAGGACATGAACTGATTGAACTGAATTTTCTACCCAGGCCCGAGAAGTAGTTTGATGTGTTCCATTCCTTTTGTGAACTGGTCTTGTTGTGGAACTTCAAGACCTTTTAAGTTGCACTTCCACATAACATGTTTTGGTTTTGCTGAATATGCATGACGTTTTTTGAAAGGACGTGCAAACCACTGCAATTTCCTGGCAACCCCAGCGACAACTTCCAAGTTCCATCCTGACACATTTCCTCTGCGCACTCAGGACAGCGCAGTCCAAACCTGAACGAAAGGGTTGGGGGTGCTCAACTTGGATAGTGTCAGCCCAATTGTGAATGGTTTCAACATGAGTGATTGTTCATCAAACTAGAAAAGTTACGTTCAAAACTCGCATGGCACGCTGGTCAGGGTAATAAAAATAAATTGCAAAAGATGGTAAACACACAAAACATGGCGGCTATGTGCCTTAACACACCCTTCATGAGTTCAAGCCGGTTCAAGTGCCCAAGGCAAACACTTTTGGGCACAACATGTTACCAAATTTACACTGAAACATAATAAAACTGCTTAAAGGAAGGGGTGAATGAGCGGTGGCTAAAGATGGGATGAGCAGCAGTAGATTAAAAAACAGCTGCAGACCCAGCAGCAAAGCAGCAAAACAGAGCAACAAAGCAGAGCAGCAAAGCAGCGCAGAAAAAGTTTGGTGTTGCAGCTGATGACCTTGCCGTTTGCAAACTTCTTCAAAGTCAAGATCTTTGTCTTCTGTTCATCAATGTCAGTAGTAAAAACCGCTCCGATCTCCTGCCCTTGAAACAAAACGTCGACTTTGGACCACCAAGACATGCAAAGTGACCACCAAATCTGAAAATGCGCACAGCGCCAAAACGAGAGCGCAGTCAAGGAAAGCATGCGGTCCAGCCCGCCAGATTCTGCGAGCCTGCGCAGTCGAACGCACTTTGATTATTTGGACATGAGTGAGTGAGAGCAGCAGCAAAGGAGCACCAGAAAAGCAAAGAAGCAGCAGCAAAGCGCAGCAGTCATCTTGGTGCGGTTGATTCGTCTCACTTATGCAGGGAACCGAGCGCGGGCACACCGCTTGGGCCAGTGCGTGCGCGCGGGGTTCGCGCGAGTATTTATGCCACACGCACCCAGCGCGAGAGCCACAAAGCGGCAAAGCAAAGGAGCAGCCAAAAATAGGCAGTAGCAGCAAAAATGGTTCGGTAAACAAAAATGAGTCAAAGGGACCCCCCAAAATGCGCCTACAAAAGGGGAATTCCAAACCCACACACTTTTAGCCTACAGCAAGGAGAACTTGTGGGTAGCCTAAGGCGACTTTTCGTGATCAATCACACCTTTCATTCAGAACAATGTCACCAAGGCACTCTGACCTTAATGGCGCTGCCGTCTCGGATCGGTCTTCCGCCTGCCACACAACACGCAAAACAAAGGAGGCACGCCGTGCACCATGAGAGAAAGGACAGTGAGTGGTCGTGTATTGGAATGTATTGGAGTATGATTTGGTTGCAATATGTTGCAATCATTGTTTCATGTCTCCATCTTGACAAACCATGACAAACCCGCTGGCGCCCTGGTGAATTTCACAAGGGATCTGTGGAACGCGAGCCCCTCTGCAAGGGAACAATAAGCGTTTGGGACAACGCGGTCAACTTCTACACTCAATGTTGAGCAAATTGTTTGAAGGTCAGTAAACATATTGCAGAGAGTAAACTCCTTGTGGTGTTCCGATATGTTTTCGAACGCGCTCACCCTTTGCCTATCCAGAGGCAGGCGTGTTCGGGGGATATTTTTTGTTTTGTTGGACATACACACATTCTTGGCAGCAATGAAAGAAGACCAGAGAAGAAACATGGATGAGAAAAGGCAAGTCACTAGGCAAGTCACAGTCATGTGTTCACACTTAGCAATTAGAAGGAACTGCTGAACAAAAGTAGTGGTACTTTTTGCATCAGCCTTGGTCAGCATCGGCCACGAAAAGATTCATGAGAGAACCTTCACAGCACGCTGAAGAAAATGGGGCGCACGGAAAGTATAGCGTCTGCGTGTGCAGACGGTGTATTCATGCATTTGGAGCGTTCGTAAGGCCCACAAGACATACGCGCAGTTTTTACCGGGACGCAGGCTTGCGAGGCCCTCCGCAGAGATGCTTACCCCACAGGATAAGCCAAGCGCAGAGCGCGGCCGTGTTTCGATTGATGCCACCGAAACACGAAACAGTGGAAGGAAACCGAGGTTGTGTGCATGGCCCATGGCAGTATAGGATCCCCCTGAACGCAACACATGCAGCAACTGCTTCCAACCCTCCAAGCACACGTTTGTGTATATATATATATATACATATCAACCGAGACCGTGCAAAACCACATGGCATGGCGACATCGCATGCCTAATTTTGTCACACCGTGTGCCACAAACTCGATACAACAATGTAGGGCACAGCAACATGACAAACGTAATCCCGCCACACGGTGCGCCACAGAACAATGTAACACCAAGCCTCGTGGACACCGCCAATCATCCCGCCACCCAGCAGCATGCCTCCTTTACAGACGCATGCTTTTCGTTTCCCAATAGCATCGAGAGCCACACAAACACACTTTCCAGCGAGGCCGCACAAAAACGTATGGCACACTGATCACAAACGTCATTTCGCTCCCAGAAGCTGCTTCCCGTACTGTATTTACACTGGGGCCACAGCTCTCAGAAGCTGCTTCCCATACTACATTTGAGGGCACACATCCCGGAAGCCGCTTCCTGCACTACATTCGCAATACAGAGCTACCAGTTCAGCTCCCAGAAGCTGCTGCCTGCAGTGCATGTGTACCAAAAGTTCCCATTTTGACGACAGTTGCACGCTTTGGCAACCTCCACCTTCGCTTTCGACGACAGTTATACACACTTTAACTTTGGCAACCCCCACCCTCGTTTTCGACAGCAGCACTGTGGCAACTTCCGCCTTCGTCTTCCACGGCCACTGCGCGACAGATTTGGCAATGTGATTCTCGAAGACGACAAAATTCGACACTTTGGCAATTCGACACGCGTGATCTCCGCAAAGAGTTTCAATGATAACAACTCAAATTCGCACTTCACCTCACGCTTGAGCGCTCGACACGCACGATCTCCATAGAGGGTGTCCAAAGCACAACACAATTTGCGTTTCACCTCACGCTTGTGCACTCGACACCCACGAGCTCCGCAAAGGGTTCACCACGATCAAGCAAATTTTGTGTTTCACCTCGCGTTTGCACACTTGACCCACACGATTTAAGTTGTAGTTGCGCAAGTGATGACGACGATGGGCAGTAATTTCAACATTTTTCAACCACGTGCATCTCTGCACCTGAATATAATTACGGAAGAAGAAGATGATGATGCTGCTGATGATGATGCGGCTGCTGCTGCTGCTGATGATGATGATGATGACGGCGACGACGAGACGATGACGACGCTGGCGATGACGACGTCGACGACGACGATTGTGATTAGTTGGACAGTTGAAGTTGCCAGCCTTTCTTTATGGAGAACCCTTCGCAGGTGCTTTCGGGGACAACTGTACACCCCTGGGCGCACTGCACAAGGAACTGTTCTGGTGGCATACGTATTATCTTCGGGACGAGGTTATTTGGCACTGAAGCGTCCACAGCCTGGATTCCTCAGTGCACCCCTGGTCAGAAAAGCCAGCGGGTCAATGGTTCACCCAACTCTGGAAATATGGCTGGCGTGCTCCTTTGTTGACATTGGGGAACAATTCCCTGCCCGGATGCTTCTCTGTTGACATCAGTGGCTCTGTCCGGTAATGGCGGCATCGGTGGGGTCTCTGGCTGGTGCGCTTCTCTGCTGGCATCGGCGCATTTCCTGCCGGGTATAGCAGGTTGGCCGGGTACGATTGGTCCGGTTTGCTGTTTTGTGCTCATTTGCCGCCGGGCATGGCGGGACTGCCGCTGGAGCTGACATCCATAGAGGTGCTTGGTGGCAACAGGTTGCACATGGTCTTTCTAAAGTTTATCCAACACCTCTCTGTGTTCTATATAGGTTGGTCAGGGTTGAGGGTTTGCAGGGGTGGCGGGTTGGTGGGCTGGCTTCTTCAGCCCTTTCTTGCTGGTTAAGATGTTCTTCTGACGTTCACTTAACATTACATATTCTTCATCATGTCTTCACACCTTTACTTGTTTGTCAGTGCTGGTTCGCGTGTGTGCTTATTGGACTTGCTATAGCTTTGGCATACCTTCGTTGTTACTGAGTGGAGGTTCGCCAGTAGACCGACAGACCTGTTGTTTTTCCCTTCCAAGGGAGCCAGCTCTTTTTCCTCAAAGAAGCCAATGTCGTCATGTTGCCGGCCGTATGAAATAACTTCAAAGATGGATACCCAAGCTGTGGATATGGTCACCTGGAAAGCCACACCACACTCTTCTGGGCTTGGGAGTCCTACCCAGAAGCCAAAAGCATCCCTCTGTCAAACTTCCGACTTTCTTTTTATCTGTCGTACAGCGCCTTTTCGATCTCGTCGCTGATGCAAAAACAACGCCAGTGGGAGACCTGGCGGTCCCATGCTCAGAGGCAAGAATATTTCCATATCCCAGTGTAGGTATCGGTATTAGCTATTTCGCTATGGCTCCTAGGCTAAGAACGTCGACCCCCAAATTCGCCAGATTTGAATCGTTTCATTTTCCCATTTGTCTTTAATTATGTGTTGCTTTCATTTGCTTTCACCACCCAAAAAACAGACAATGGTACCCAATTATGTTGAGCCCTTTTGTCGAGTCATCCCATCCTTCTTAGGAAGTAGGCTCTAATATCGTTGCAACTTGTTGGGTCAACGTGGGGGGTTGCCCCACTTCGCAACATCGTGATCGTTTTTCGTTATCATCCTTATATTATCGGCTTCACGCTTCAACCGATTGTCAACAGCACAAAGCCATGCAAGACTCCTGCCCAGCAGTAAAATGTGCAGTGACCTGTCACGGGTGGAGTGGCTTGAGGACTGAAAGCAAGAAAAGGAATGCGGCCAATGTCACCTTGCAGTTCATGAACTCCAAGACAATAGTCCGAGTGGCCCAAAACCCAGAAAAAACGTGTAAAACGCTGCTTTGTTTCAAGCATTGCAATGTGGGTGGGGGGCAACCCCGTTTACACAACTTGTTGTAGGGCACATCACCAAGTACATCAAAACTATTAATCATCCCAGGTTACCATACTCAGATAGTTAGCCCCTCTTCCCACAGGTTGCCAACAGTTCTTCTTGCCACACCAACAAGAAGGATACTGCAGAACAAATCTGCAGACTTCCTCTAACGCTCTCGCAGCCCTCTTCCCACTGCTCCCCTGTCTTGCAACCCCCAATGTCTCCAATAATTCCGTTGAATAAATGTCTGATTACTTGCCCCGAAGTGAGCCCCAACATAGTCTCCAAGGACATGACTGCGGATGCCACTGGCGTGGAGTTTCCACGTGCACCCAGCTCGCCAAACGCGGCCTCTGAACCTTCAATGTTCGCTTAGCAGGGCCAGTGTTTTCTTCGAAATTTCTGACAAGGCCCAAAGGTCAATCAAACATGCACTTCCCTCAAACAACCACCTCACCCAGAACAGTATGTTCCTTTGTCTTAGACTCTAGCCGCTTGGGAGATCTCATATTTCTATGGCCATCTATGACTATGGAGAAACCATGGGATCCGTCAGGTCCATCGTTCCTCTGCGCCTGGTTTGGGTCGCTTCTCAGCCTCCAGAGCTGCCGCTCTCGAGAGGACTCCGAGAGATCCAGCACGTAGCGGCCACAGTACACGTCACCTGGGCAGTGTTAAACACAGGTAAATGAAGGCAAATGACAGGCGCATGACCAAATCTGTTGGTCTGTCTTGAAAGAGCATTTGTGTGTCTTTTATCCTCGATCCCTTACATACGCTTACCATCTATGCCATATTCCTATCTAGGTGCCAGACTAGACTGTCCATGAAATATGTAGTTTGCTGATGTTTGCTGCCAGTTCAATTGATGCCTGACTATATCAGGTTGCGCAGGAACACTGGAGAGTGATTCTAGGGCATTTTTCGGGGCTGTGTAATCTGTACACGTAGGAATGTTTCCAACATCCAGACAGGGCGGTTCTTTGCGTCTAGGATCTGGAGTCCCTCTGACGTCTGCAACCAAAAGAATGCCACTTTCCAACGGACCTGTCTGGGATCTGGTGTCTCTAACGGGACAAAGCTTTCGTCCAGTCCCCACATCGATCCTGAGCATCCCAAACTTGGCATCAGGTATTTCACTCTACATCATCGGACCACTGGAGAGTCGGTCAGAATGAGCAACTCGACAAGAACCTTTGAGCTACCTCTATGTCACTCTATGTCTACGTCACACAGAATGCATACATGCCCCCAAAGCATAGGTTTAGGCTTCACAGTTGTACAGCCTTGATAAAACTACCGCAAATATCTGCAAACATCAATTGATAAGAATTCTGAATTTCCATTGGGATTAACATTGCGGTGGCGTGCCATTGGCCTAGCTTGCAACATTGGACTAAACCAAAAAAGGGATACGACTTGAAGTCCTGATTCGTCTGAAGCCTCCAGCCAGGAGCGACCCAGGCAGGCTTCCGTTCGGATGGGGACCGTCCGAATGGAGCGCAAGAGTTAGAAACCCACGACCTGTGCTTCGATAAGAATCGGCTAGGCTAGCATTCCCAGTGGCCATCGCTGCCGACATAGGCGGCAAAGCGCCTGCCACGGCGCTGGCCTGGCAGACAATATATCTTGGCTGAGCACGAACCAAACCTGGAGCTTCTGGCTGATCTCATCATGCGGTGCTGCGCCCTTTTTCTTCAGAATCTAATGTGAAGTAAACTCGCCACGTCAGCGCCTGGACGTTGCACCAACACCTGGTAGCCTTTTTCCAGATCGTGAGTCACCTCACGCTGGCGTACCCACTGCACGCATTTTGTGCTGGGTTGTTGGCGGTGGTATTACATCAGATTCAATCTAACGACAGGTTCTTGCAAGTGTTGGGGGCCTTGTAGGTAAGTTGAATGAGAGAGTTAATTCCTTCTTCACCGTGAAGCCCATCATGTTCACTGGGGGGTTGACATGATGAAGAAAGCCTGTCAATATGCGTTCCGCCATACAGGTATCATAATATGGTATCATCAATGTGATCTAGTTGAAGTTCATATTTCTTATTTGCACCGCAAATCCGATATGATCACGTGCCTGGTGCCCCTTAACCCTCTCTTGTTGACTGTCCCTTGTACTGCTTCTCGCCAGTCAAGCTCACACCAACACTAAACGGCCCCACAGAATGAAGACACGCCCTGAGACGACGTGTCCTTTCTCCCAAGATCCGCCGGTGCCTGGATCCGGTTCTCGGAGCTGTCGTCTCGCCAAAGGCCCAAGAGCTTTTTCAGCGCTGATGGGTCAGCCATCCGGACATCGAGCACCGATGAGTCACCAATGTGGTCCAACCGGGAAGACGTTAGGGGGCAGCTTGGGGGCTGGAAGACATGGAACGGTGCCCATTTTTTGGAGCTTTTTGGGTGGCGCCAGTGTGTCCCCTCCTCAGAATGGAAATCACCTGCTGAACCGTTCACGAAACGTGATGTAGAGGCATAGCTCTGGACAAAGGCAACCAGGCGTTGCGCTTCGTTTCATTTTGCGACAAGTCGTCTGTCCGGCCTCTTCCATGCGCGGCCAGAAAATCAAGGACATCCAAACATCGTAGGAACTTCGTGACATTCCCTGTTTCTTTCAATGATGGAACCCACAATTCCTTCAAACCATCGGGCACCAATCCTCCTAGCTCGCGAACGACCCACGCTGCAGTTGTATAACTGCATGTGATAAACTTCACCAGGAGATCCAAAGGGCGCATCACAACCAAAAGAAAAAGACGACCAGTTTCAAACGAGGGAACTTCTGTTGTGCTGGCCCCATGTTCCCATCAGAATCACATGGGTGGATCAACCGGACGATCAAGTGACTTTGGTCAAACTCTGGGTGGTTCAGATGCTATATGATCTATATGCTACTGTCAACGGTTCATGATCATTTGCAAGAACTTCCTTAGAGGAGAATTCCTGCAATCTTGTCTTTTTACAAGCCTTTTCACTCACCTCATAAAAGACTAATCCTGACCTGAAATTTCCGTCCAACAAACCATGGGCATTACGCATGGTTGTATCATTGGTTCAGAGGTATGTTTAATATGCTTCATGTAAGAAGAGACCAGGTGCCCTGTCGGTGGTTTCCCCTTTGTGGGTCGCTGTGCAACCCTGAAACAACTGTAGCCGGAGCAAAAAAAGCAAATTCACTCAGCTGCGCACACTCAGCATTTTTTGGGGTCCCACCAGCGCCCACTCGCCGCGGGAGAGACACGGCCACTGAGAGGCTGCGCTCATGCGTCGTTCTTTTCCTTGCCTGACCATACCACATGGTTGTGGACAAAACAAAGCCCACCAAACATATCCACATGTGTATCTCTCAAAACGACATTCTTAGAGCCACCACACATGAAATCCTCTAAGGTTAGGCCTCTATTATGTTGCTTTCCTTGTTTTCTTTGTGTTTTTGTTTTTGTTTTTGCTTTTTCAAGTATCGAGCCTGCTCTTGTCAACACCGATTGATACACGAGGATGTCTTACAGGCTGTCCATGTCAAAGAAAGGCAAGTCAGAGTTTGGTGGCTTTCCAATTGCCTGTGTTCAGCTTTTGTTGGTATTATATCCACATCTTGAACTTGTCACAATTTCTGCAAAACACCAATACTACGTTCGTGTATCTGAAGCTCCTAAGCCTGGAAGCGTCTCCTGGAATCTCCGGTTATCTTCCTGAAAGCTCTTGTGGCGATCCTTTTCCTTGTCCAGCCGTCCTGCCCCAGGCCCCAGCACTTTTTATTGTAACATCCCCTGACCACCAAAATCTCATTGTATACCGTATACCCTTATATATACACATATCATGTGTGTTGACTATATAGATGTACACATCCACGCAAGAACAAAGGACCGTCCAGCCCGTGGGGGTAGCTGCATCACTCAAGTCGAAGAACCCTCAAGGAAGGAAGCTCCTCCTTCAGTTTCTCTATCTCGGAGGGGACGAGAATGATACATGAGGACATCATCGGGCACACCAAAAAAACATCACAAAACTTTTGGTTGTTGAAGCTGGCTCCCTAGCTCCACAGAATCGTTCCTAGGTTGGAAGTGGGCATATCAGAACATCGGGAATCTGCCAAATAAACCTTCTCGAACTGAAGAGGCTCCAATTCGTGAGAGGTGTCACCTTCTGAAATGAACTGGCTGACCAAACACATGAGGGTCGAGTTTGGCATATAAAAATAAATCACCACAATTTTGTGCTGGCACAGTGACCACACCAACACCAAACATAGCAATCATTGGGATGGACTGTTCCAACCACGTTGGATCTTGTTTCATCACAACAAGAGCGACTGAACAGAAATACTCATCTAGAAAGGGGGCAACTTCCAATTGTACACATTCTACGAAGAGAATAAAGTAAACTGATAGCGAAGGCAAGGTGGTGAAATGCGATGAAAGGGTGTCACTTGACGTTATCCGTGCCACCAAACCAAGTGACATATCACAGTCCCATATTACTCCTATTGCAGTTGTAAAAACAACTCCAACACAACCGTGCAACTCAAATCGCACACCTTGCTCTTAGTTGTCACCTCGGGAATGGGTTGCACTTGGGACGTGACGATTGGGATCTTTCACATCACGCTGGCGGTTGTGGTCCAAGTGGCCGGGTCTTGTGGCAATGGATTCTCTCGAATAGCCACTTCATGCAGGTTCGAGATGTGTGTCAGCAAAGGCAACGAGTGGAACTCATTCTCCTGGTCTTTGCTGCGCAACATGAGCACACTGACGCACACTGAAAGGGACAAACTCGGATTGATTGTGAGCTGGAATGAGTAGCGTCATTTTCCGATCCAGCAGCACACAAATGATCAGCCATCCAAGAAATACGCTCGTGCCGTGTCAAACCCCGAGAGAAATTGAGTCCAATTCGCAACCAAGGGTTGTGCGCACCTCACACTCACGATTGCCAGAAAAAAACAAGCAGCAACACTGCCATTACTAGAGCCAAAGGAGCGGCATGAAGCCAGACACCCTCAAGATATTGCCACTGTCAAACTCGACAAGCGCCCCAGATGAGGACAAAGCTCTGGCCAGTGATGCGCTGGGTCAGTGACCCCTTTCCCGCAAACTGCGCACGTGACCTGAGGCGAAACAATCGGGTTTTGTTTGGTCGTTAAGGTCTCAGGGATTTCGAATTTAGCTTGAACGGGGGGGCGGTAAACCTGAGGAAGTGAAACCAGGCCGCTTGGCGCACCTTGGCCTCTCATCCTTTAGATTCTGATTTTATGCCCCTGTACCTCAAGAATCAAAATGGCTCGGCGCAAATGTGTTTGTGTTGTGAAATATCTGTATATATAGGCGTACCAAATACATAATATATATATATGTTAAATGCAATTCATATAATATAAATATATATGTTAAGAAATCGGTAGGAATGTCCAGCTCATCTTGTGAATTGCTGCGCCTGTCGCGAAATGTACATTTCAAGGCTCATAAACAAAAAGTGCTGCGCCTGCCACGGCATCTGCACTTCGAGGTTTACAAAGTGCTGCGTTGGCTGCAAAGCCTGCGCCTCGAGGTTTGCGAAGGGTTGGCTAGTATCAGAAAGTTGCAGTTGCTGATTTCGGTAACCCGCTGGCTAAACACCTCCTCCTTCCTCCGAAAGGAGCTGATACTGATACTGCAGCTGCCGCGAAATCTGCACTTCAAGGTTTATAGACAAAGCACTGTCCCAGCCACGAAATCTGCACTTCAAGGTCGCCCGCCACGACATCTGCACTTCAACATCTCCAAAGTGCTGCGCCTGCAACAAAGTCTGCTTCAAGATTCACATCGCGCAGCCCTGCCAAGGGGGTTCGCAGCAAGAGCACTTCCAAAGACAACATCAAGATGCCAAAATGCAGCTTTCGCTGGAGACTTTGGGCATTGAATCCACGTTGGCAGGTTGTGAAATGTTTAAGGGCACAAAGAACATTCAAAAACCAGAGCAGATTCATACATCAACACTCTGACATTAAAGAAATCACGGGGCATTCGTACATCATTTGCGCGTTTGGTCCAGCCTTCTGTGGGGCTGTGCCAAGATTTTTGCCTCAACGAAGCACCCGAGCAACTCCCCAGCATCCAGACTCTTCCATCAGCCAAGCATGTGGAGTGTCTGGGCACGAAACCGTCAGAATCTGCGAAATGGGATTTAGTCTTGTGAGTACTGTCCAAAATCCCCTACAGATGAGAGTGGTCATTAGTCTTGGTGGTGATTGCGGCGGTCTCTGTGGTCCAGCCGGCCCTGGTGGTTTTGACTTGGTGGCGCGGCGCCTCCCCATACAGCCTGCATGCAGCCCTGAAAGTACTAAGAATCCTTGATGAGTTCTTCTTCCTGTGAGAGGATTTTAAAAGCTAGATGGACCTAGTTGCTGGGCAGAGAGCAAAATGATTTCTCTACACTCTACAAAAATCGGGTTCTGTGGGCGCAACTGTAAGGGTCTCAAGCTCGCCCTTCTCGTAGAGGAAATGTCAACAGGGATCCGTCTACAAATATACGGGGCTCGGCCAGACACTTTAAATACACGGTGCGTGGAACAGGTATTTTAGACTACCTCCGGGGCCGATTGCTCTGGCCAGGCCAGCATAGATTAAAAGGCGAGACCGTATAGTGTCTCGTGACCACACTTACCAACTTGGAGCGCTGATGGATTCCTGGCTTTGGGAAGAAACCACAACTTTATGAGTTGCTTTCCAATGTTGTCTTGGGCATAAATCCAACCCCTCAAGTCTTTGGTGAGGCCTCTCACACACACGCACCACGCCCAAGATGGTCTCCCTCCAATGGGTGACCGATTTTGATGACGAGCGACTGATCGACTCCGCCAAATCGCCAAGCTTGAGGCCGTGCTCGCCGACCACAATGCCCAGCTTCGCGCTTCGCCAAGCACAGCGGTGTCCAGAAGCTGGCCCTGGAGGCGAAAGAGATAGGTTCAGGAGATCATACTTGCAACTTTGGTGGCGCGGTCAGGAACTGCTCTTCTTTGGCAAGAGTCTGCCTCAACTGGTGCTGTTGAGTTATTGCCAATCCTCAATCATGGGGTCACTGTATTTGGAAGTCCCGCATCAAGAGGTTTCCTCCAGAAGTGACGAGATAAATGTCAAGTTAAAGTCCCTTCGGTTCACCTTCCAACATCTTCCAACCATTATATTTGTAAGAGGAAACACAATCTTGTTTTGAGTCTCTGGCACTTGCTCATCCGTGAGCCTAACCTCCAGCCAAATACAATCGGTGAGTTGCTCACTCATTTAATCATAGAATGAAGAAACTGAGAAGACTTAAAGCATGTATACAGGTGCACCTGCAAAACTGACCATTAGAAAAACCAACCTGTAGAAATAGGATGAACGTGGATGAACTGTGCGCTCAATACACAGCTGGCATACAACAGGCCACTAACATAGTGACATATGTTCCGGCTAGAACAGAAGGCTTGGATTCTTCCGAGGACATAGCTGCATTGGCATAGAGATGATGAACGGTTGGTTAGGATATCGCTCTGCCATGGTTTGAATCTGTGGATCGACCACTCCTCACGTTTTCAGTGAAAGGATTCCATGCTTTTGGGGGAAGCCAAGCGCCGCTGTGTAGGATGACTGAGCCCAAGGGTTTTTGTGTTGGGGTGAAGTCCACCCACGACTGGCTGTGATAGCGGCGTGGTGTTGCGCTTCAACGGCGGCGGCGACACCCATCGCGCGAGAGGGTGGAGCCCGGGGCCAAGGGTGGAGTCAGCCGACCATGCATGTGAAGAGACGGCACATGAGAAGCTCGACCGGCTAATCAAAGAGGAACGGAAGTCGAAGAGAGCAGCATCGACGGCCAGAGGACGAGGTGTAGTCAAGGGCAAGATCGAGCTGCGGCGGGAGGCCTCCATGCTGGAGTCCATGTAGGAGATCATGGTGGCCAAGAATCGGCGAGAGTGCTGGAAGTCCTTCAGAATCCACGAGCGGAGGTCCAGGGAATTGGAGCACTCCAAGATGCGGTGAGGCAGTCATTCGAGCTCCTTCAGGGTGCTCTTGGCCAAGCAGGAGGAAGTCAGATGCGGTGACCAGAAACCCGGGCTACTTGGACCTCTTCTAACGCCGCTTCATCCACGGATGACCGCCTCGTGACCGGGTTTTGCAACCGGGTGAACTGCATCCACGGGCCTTAGACTTTCAGCAGGCGGCTTGTCAAGGACCGCTGGCTACAGTGAAACCCTTCTGAAGCTCGAACATGCAGAAGGCAGCCAGGGCTGAAGGTCATTTGAGGCATGCTCAAATGCCAGTGGAGGCCAGCGCCGGATGAGCCCATCGACCAGCTGGAGGATTTCAAGGAGATCTTGGATTTACCACAGGTGGAGGAGGAGATTGAGATGGCCACGGATGAGCAGGTGCAGGCCTTGAGTGAGAGGGCAGCCATTGAACGAGCATGTGAAGCTCCTCGCCTGCAGAATGTGACCGTCGCTGAACCTATGTCATCAAGGTCAGTGGAGGTGGAGGACATCATCCATGCACTCTCCAAGATCCACGCTCGCTACAAGACGATTGGTGCGCTCACGAACCGGGAGAAGTCTTTCCTGACGAAGGCGGTGGCCAAGTGGGTGCAGGCCAGAGAGATGGTGCATACCATGACACCTGGCGATGACAGCCAGGTGAACGGCGAACTCCACCAACTGAAGAGGAGAACGCGGCTGCTGCTGCACGCTGGTCGGGTGGATCAGGCACTTTGGCCTTGCGCTTTGCGGCGCGCGACACACCAGAGGTTTAGATTGCAGTTGCAGCGGCTGGGGGTGGGTTCGTCCAAACCTATGTTAATGTTTGGTTCCAAGGTGATGGCGAAAGCCAAGAGATGGCATCATCAGACAGGGAAGTTGACGAACCCCTTCAAGCAAATGGTTCTGCTGCCTGGGACCCAGCCCGTTGATGAGCTCTGGATGGGTGGCTCGGGATCTTCAAGGAGGAGATGAACTGGGAGGTGGCTACGACGGACGTGAAAACTGCCTTTGTGCTGGCTGCCCTCAGCAACGTCTTCGAGGGCACCGAGAGTGAGGCGGTCAGTGAAAATGCCGGCTTGGAGGAGACAACCAAGCAGGGCTCCGTATCTTGGCGCCGGACGGCCCATGCATGGAGGACGAGACACCTACGACTTCGAGCACACGCCCTATACGAGAAGGGGTCAGTGGGGGGCATGGAGTGTGGCACGTCCGGGTGAGGGAAGATGAACCCACCGTTGTGCACCAGCTCTGAGGGTCGGTGTGCGCCATGGTCCGGTTTCGGGCCAAGGGCCTCCCTGGACATGGAGGACGTTTTCCCCGATGGGGACGGCTGGTGGATGGTTGGTGGGTGAGAGATCATGCCAAGCCGAGGAAACGGCCATTTCATCCCATTCACAGATTGACACCCTTCGATGGCAGCCAGATTCAGAACCGCCGAGCAACGGTGATTTGGTGCCATGCAAATCGGATGATCCGAGAGGAGGATTGGCGAAGTGCCACTGGGCCGGTGTTTGAAGGGGGGGACGACTGGGTTGGCTACTCGTTCTTCCAGGAGATCCCGCAGGGCACGGTCTCGGGAACGTTGTTCTCCCAATCGAGCTCTTCTACACCAGCCGAACAAGGGAGCAGGACGTCATCGTCCTTGTGGATAGCACCCTATATATAACTACCGGACCGCCGCGGATGACTGAGGGAGGAATTGCTCCGGGATGCTCGCTATGTGAGGAGAAGCCCAACGACGGCCTCAATGGAGAGTTCAGCGACTGGGACCTCCACGGCACTGGCGAGAGGGCGAGCAAAGATTGGGAGTGGAGCGAGGTCAGGAACGCCGTGGGCTACGACCCTGCGACATATTGGTCTCAGGGGCCAAGAGGCCGTGATGGCATGACCTTCAGCGACGAGGAGAGAGGACTGGCGTGTCTCCTTGGAGGACTTGCTGAGTCAGGGATGGCGCGTTGCCCACAATGGGCTCCAGCCCGTGGGGAAGAGTACCGAGCCGGATGGGCATTGCCTCACAGCTGCCGGTGTCCCAGAGAGGATCGAGTGGGCCTTGGAGGCCCTGCGGAGGGCTTGCTGTGAGTTCGCGAATCCGAGAAGACTCCGACGGCAGCTATGAAGTTTACGAGGGTTGAAGGCCCGTCGTTTTTGAACTGGTGGCCGTACGACGGCCATGGGGAGTGTGGATCGACCACTCCTCACGTTTTCAGTGAAAGGATGCCCAAATTAGACGTGTACCAAGTTTCGGGATTCCATGCTTTTGGGGACACGCGCAAACCGATGTTGGCTCAAGAAAAGTGCGACTCCGACCTGCCACAGTAAATAAACTATCGCTTCAACCTCAGCACAATTTACAGTAGGAGTTGTGCCCTACTGGCAAATCCAGTTTGAGCTGAACACTATCAAGCGAAAGACTGGAAGATCTATCTGATACAAACTGAATGATTGCCCACGCTGCAAATTACAGAGACCATAGCAGATCCGCAGTGTCGCACGAGGCTATGGCATCGGGGCGCCTTTTGCTCTGGCAGGTGACAGATTTGCCACCAGCCTGTGAAAGGTTTTGGTCCAAGCCGGCCTCGTTCAGGTCGCTTCTCAGCCTCCAGAGCTGCCGATCTCTCGTCGACTCCGTGGGATCCAAGACGTAGCAGCCACGGTACACATTCCCTAGGCACAGGGGCAGGACCCAACGGAAATGAAGGACTCAAACCAAATGACCTCGGGAGCCTCCGGAGCAGAACATCTGTAGGTTGCTCCTACAAGGTCCTTTCATTTGCTTTACATCACTCTGGGTAAAAAAGCCGAACTGCCCAAAGTATTTCAATTAGGTTTTGTTCGTATCACGGGATCACTCAAGAAAGCATGTGCGGCCAGGCCATGCTGGTTTGTATCCGCCATGCTGGATGGCCAAGATAGGCCAAGCACTGGGACCAAATCTGGTGGTAAAAGAGTTTCTCCATCAAGTGTATATAAACTCGATCTGTCCGTCTGTAGTTGTCGCGATTTGGGATGGATGGGCAATGGGATCTGCAGACCAATACACCTCACTGGAACCTGATTGACTTAACGACCCATGTCTACCAGAAACAATAATGCTGCAGAATCCCACCACAGTATGTTCAACAACCCTTCTTGCTGCTCCATAGCGCTCTTACAACGGGCAGTCATGGGTTTGCAATGTATGATATATATATATTTATATCTATAGCTTTTATAAGTATATTATCATTTAAATCATGTTGAATCCCAAACCCAGGCGCTAGCAGTAATTGCCATTGACCCACCCTGAATTTCTGCAAGAGGTAGTAAAAAGAGCGTTCTCTCCAAGTCAAGTGGCCATCGCTGCCCACATAGGCCGCGAAGCGCCTACCACGACGGCGGCCTGGTGGCCACGGCATCAATGCATCCAACGAACATGTTGCACTTCCTGGAATCATGGAAGTGGAAAACCAGATGATGAATCATGTATGTAGAGGAAAAGGTGAAAATCCTTTCAGGCCATGCCATCCACGTAACCATGATGATACCTTCCTTGAAATCACCCAAGCTGAGGGGTGCCATGCTTTCACAAATCACAGCAAGCGCATCAGCCGCTCTTGGGATGTGAGCGAAGATGAAAAACGGACGTGTTTCTCTGAAGGGGCATTGGAGCATAGAGTGGTCAGCATGCTTGGCGGAACAATAGGATGGTCCTAATGTTCTTCCCAAATCAATCCTAAACGATCCAAATCCCACAAGCATCGAATACAAGGGAGCATGTATATGACAAGAATCCAAAGTTCTAAACAACATGTGCAATCATCCAAATGTGAAGTCCAAAACTCGCCGCTCAGCGCCTGGACGTTGCACCAGCACCTGGTAGCCTTTCTCCAGATTGTGAGTCACCTGATGCTGAGGTGATCAATACCCATCCTTCCGGGCCTCTTTTTTCCGGCCTCTTGATCCAACCTTTGAAAGTCAATATGCCATTGACGTTGAGAGGATGTAGCTCGCATGGTGTTGGTGAACCATCCCCAAAATGGCTTCAATCCTCAGGATGGGGTCACACCCAAAGTCTCTTAAAACAACTTCACTATATTCAAAAATAGCTGCTACATGAGCCATCATTCATGTGATCCAATTCAAACCAGGATCTAGCAGTAAATCCAAATTGATCCATGTGCTCCCTGTTTTTTTGGCACACGTACACGCGCACACATACACACTCTCTGTAACACACTGCCTTGCCCTCTGTTCCTTGTGATGTGTCATAAGAACTTTGAACTCCCTTCTTGCTGGAAAAAAGGTGAAGGTCTTAAAACCAAACCTGAAAGGCTCAACGAGCATCGGCTGTGCACCCAATCAGCCGGTCCTCTCCCCACCGCCATGACGTTGGCACCTGGATCTGGTTCGCGGAACTTTCCTCGCGCCAGTCTCCCAAGAGCATCTCGAGCACCGCCATGGTCGGATGCGCCAGTCAACCAGTAGAGCATGAGGCCGAAGATGAGCGACCGAGTCAAAGGTGGTTGGGGACTGAGACCCATTGGAAGAAATGGGACTCCTTTGGTGCTACCTTTTGGGGGTTTTGTTGCATCAGTGTTTTTTCCTGCTAAATGGAGTTAACGTGTAAGGACACAGCTCTGGAGAAGGGTAACAGGACATTGTGCGTCTTTTCACTTTGCATGTGACTCTTTTCGCATCTCACGGCGCGCCGAACGCCCCTGTCGCCTTTTGTTATTCAACACTTTGCACGTCTTTGCACGCTGTCCCCAGTTGATCTCGTAATTTGACCGCTCTGTGCGTCCGTTGTGTCTTCCTCAACCCCGAAATAGATCCAAAATGTAGGAACTTTGCGATCCTGATCCGATCAATGATATTCACCGACAAGCCGGATTCTTGGGTGTTGCCGGTGAGTGACAGAGTTTGTTGGGGAGAATCATGATGGAACCCATGATCCTGTTTAACATCTTTAAGCTATGCTAACTATGTCGTACCAATTCTCGTAGTGTACCCAAACTTACATCCTCCTATTTTACCCACTTCATTTGCTTCATCTCTCCGAATCTCTCCTAGAGGTATTTTGCGAGGTGCCCTCTTTTTGAAAGAAGGAGGACAGCCCCATGCACTCCGCCGGTTTTCGCCTCTTTTGGCTCGTGAGCACACACTCATCGCGATTTGGCAACTGACCTGAGAGGCTGCAAAGGTGTCAACTGCCTCTAGACTACACTGTAGATCATACCACCTCGTTTGGGGGGTCACCGAGCTTGTCGGGGACCCAAATGTTATGAGGGTGCTTCTTAGAAGCCCAGGGTGAGCTTCAGAGGCCAGTAAAACATGATATTGATGTATCAACAACCAACACCCCCCTTCAGAGAGTGACTAAAGGATTGGCATGGATTGGCCATGCCAAAACCGAGGCAATTTCAAGTTTGACGACTTTCAGATGTTGTTTTGATTCTGGATTCCTCGATCTGCTTTTGCAACTTAAACCTTGTTGAAATTCACGTTGCATAGTGCGCTGAACAAAGACTCGCCATGACTTCTTTAAAACTCCAAAATTACTCTTGTGTACTCCAAAAAGCATCTCCTAAACTCCTAAGCATCGCATGTCCCGCAATCGTGGATGACCTTCCGGATGGGGCTCTCTGTGGCGATCCTTCTCCTGGACCCCCCGCGCTTGCGCGCGATCCGAGAAAGCGCGCAATCCTTTTCGCTGCTTTTTCATTCACTCGATTGCACGGATCTTGCAAATCCCTCGAGGGAAAGGGATCATTCTGAACGGTACGTATCTGTCGACTGTTGAGTTGACTTTGGGTGTTCTTCACCAGGAGACTCCCAAACACCAGTGATCAAGTGAAAGGAAATAGGAACCAAGGCGTCTCCCAGATCATCAGGTGTCACCCAGTTGGAGACAAAGCCAAATGATCAAAATATCTCCAAACAACCTCTTTGGAGAACGCTTGCTATTTTCCATTCTCAGGACCAAACTACAACTGAATTGCCAGGAGTCTGAAATATTAAGAACTCCTTCTGCTGCTTTTTGTTGGAGGTAATGTTTTTTCAGGTACATCCAGTACATCTGGCACTCATCAAGGATGTTCACCAGCAAATCCTGTGTGTATACCATCCAAAGAAGGAACGGGAAGCCAGTGTAGAGTCTACACACCTGCGAAAAGGGAAGATTCCATTGAGCAATCCTGACTTCAATCCGTAATTTGCTGATAGACTAGGATAGCAATAACTCCCTGATGTTGGCTGCTAATAGAAAGCACCAAAACACCACCTGATCACCAGAATCTCATAATGCACACACACACACGTATATTATATATATGTTTATCAAAGCATGTCATAAAATACACAGCCTCACACCGTACAGACGCACCGTCCGGGTGGGATCAGTCGGAACCGGCTGCTTCACTCAGAATACTCAGATCGAAGAAACCTCAAGGACGGAAGCTCCTTCTTCAGCTTCTCGACCTCGCAAGGGATGAGAACGATTTGTGATCGGCACAGAAGAACGTGATCAGATTTTTTCTTTGCTTTCGCTGGCTCCGCAAAGCTGTTCTTCGGTTGAAGTGGGCATCTGGACATGGATCCGCATGATTGAGTTTGCCGTAGAGTCACTATGCGTCTCTAACCTGAGGTCCACAAGGATCTGCTTGCATGCTGCGAAAAGGGAGCTATTTATAGGTGTGAAGCTCCAAGACAACTCCCTATCCGGTGTTTGCGGCTTTGCCATATTGGGACATGAAAGCTCGTGGATGCCGAAATCTCATCTCCGGTCTGAGACGAAAGCCTCTCTGCACATCGCAGTGTGTCAAAACTTATTGGAACCGACTTGACGTTCACACTTTCGAGCGTGTAGTTCTTTTCCAAAGTTGAAAGGCAGGGAATGTTTGCAAAAGACTTGAACGAAGAGAGAGGTTGTTTGAGCGCTCGTACTGTTTGTTGAACGCCATTCATGGTCCAATTCTTCCGACTTTCCCGGTGCTGGATACACTACCCGAGCGAAAGCCGATATATTCTAGCTGACTGAGCAAAGATTGTGGAGGGATTCGGGTTCACTGAAAGCTGGCTGTCCGCGTAATAGAAACCAACAGTCTTCCGTGTCAGGCACCCTAAGCGACCTTCTGACCGACAAAGATTGAACCTTTTGGTGCAACATGGTGCAACCGTTGCGGTACAGGTGGCCCTTGGCACCACAAAGACATGAACATCACCGGCGCAAGCGGCTTACAAACTGGGATCCCGACAAATCCTGTGCCGCTTGGGACAACAAGACTGGGAATCTTTAAATTCACCTTTGGCCCCTTGGTCCAAGTGACCTCTGCCTGCGGCAAGGGATTCTCATGAATATCCACTTCGTGCAGATTTGAGAGGTCTTTCAGCATGGGCAAAGAGCGCAGCTGATTCTCCTGTTCACTCCCAACAACACTTTGAAAAGAAAAAACTCAGAGATATTGAACGTTCGGGGAAACACAAATGCCAACTCATGAGCAATCCAAGAAGCACACTCGTGCCTAAGCAAAACTGAATCCACTTCCAAACCAATGAATATTCTGCTCGTCTCATTCCCGCGATGTTATGAAAAAAGTCTGAAGGAACAGCGCCAAAGCAAAAGGGGTACATGTCCAAACTCACACGAATGTGGAAGTCACGTGAAGTGAAAATACATCTTTTCTTTAGAAAAGTAGTCACTCCGTGTCTAGGTTGGCAAAGGTATGTAGGGATATGTAGGGTACAGAAAGACTTTGCGTGATGACCTGAACAGGTTTTAGTCAGGACATTTAGTCAATGTTCCGTTCCATACTAGCCATGGCACAGTATCTTTTGAGAGAAAAGGAGAGCTGTTCCATCGACATCCGTCACCTCATTCCACCTCATTCCAGGAATTTTCGCTGAACCTGAACTGCCTTCTGATGCAGCTCAGTATGGCATACCATGATTCAAAATGATGGAATCCTCCCTGTTCTTCCCTCAGTAGTGGGCAACTGTGACCTACTCAGTGACCTACCCTTCATATGACCAGGAAAACGATACCCAGCTGCTGGCATCTGCTTTTTGAGCTGCAACACCGAGTCCACGAATCCCTCGATTCGCATCGCGGTTCGCATGTCGCTCTCCTGGAGGTGGAGTTTATTCAAGTTCTGGAGATGTTTGAAGATCTTGGGTGGTAAGCTGGAGAGATGGTTCTTTCCCAGATACAGCACGCGCAATGAGTTCAGCATCTCCTGAAAGCGTGCGGAGACAAAGTGTAGTTGTTTCAGGGCACTGCAGAAGAAATACCAAGCAAGCGATCTAGCAGCCACAAACTATTCGAGCTTGAATTAACTGGACCCTTTGATGCTGGATTCATCAACATTCTATATGATGGGGTGTCCCTTATCGAAGAAGCGAGAAGATCTGCTGCTGATGGTTGCTTGAGTCTTATGAGTACAGGGCAGCGTTCTCAATGATCTCCCAGCATTGGGCCCCTAGCACACCTGGGATTCGAGTTAAAAGTGAGTTGGGACCCCACCCTTCAAACCCCAGACTTAATACTTAAAGAAATCGTGGCGCCCTTCTTCCTCAAGCCTGACTTGAAGATCACCTGAAGTGTATTTCACCAACAACTCGTGGATTTCTGTGATGCCAAGTGTCAAACACCCTCTCCGGCAACGAAGACCTCATACGGATCGACTCGAACTGATCGCAAGGTACAAGAACTCTTGCAAATGTCTGGTTTGGCCAATGGCAAACTCCCCGACACGTTTGGGGTTCCGCAGCTGGCATCAGCTTGAAGGTCATCAAAGTGTTAGAAGCAAAGCTTTCAATACATTCGAGGTCAATCTGGTTTCATGGAGCACGGACACTCGATTGGTCACTCATCTTGCCAAGAGACAGCTGGTTGTTCTGCAGATTTAAGTCCTCCAGCAAGGTCTGGTTGCTGAAGATCGTCTCCGGCAAAAATGTCAGTTTGTTCTTATCCAAGTGACACTCCTGCTGTGACAGTCCGGGATTTGTGAGGTCTGCAGTCCTGCCCGACCCAGGAAAGTCAGTGGGAGGATCCCGATGTGATGAATTGACCATACCTATCCATGCATGTTTGCCAAAGGATAGGCAATAACTAATTTTTGGCAATCATGTACCACTCACCATGAAAGCTACTATAAACTACCCCTCTACTTGTGAGTCTCCAACTTGGAGACTGTCTCCAAGTTTCTTCAATATATCCAAGTACCTAATGCAAGAAGAAATCCCGTTCCACATTTACAAAGGTGCACACTCTAGACTCTAAAGCTAAAGGCCTCTGCCTATATAATTGGATCTGACCCATGTTCACCCAAAAGGCTCAATCGTGGAACCCTGGGCCTATCCTACTCCCAGCAGCGGTCGGTGGATAGTGATTAGTACGTGCTAGGCAAAGAATACGGAGTGATCGTATTCCCAGGAATAGGATTGGGACATATTGGGACCATG